GTATTTACCTATATTTCCCTCAATAAAACCTGACCTGACCTGACCTGACCAAGGCGTCAGATAGTAGGACTTACCACCCTTCATCTTTCGCCACTCGCCGTCAATGCCCTTGAAGCAAATAATCGCCTCATAAATACTCAGCTTATAACTTGCCCACGCAAGTAGGGGTATGTCAGTCACTGCACATCACAACTCTCGCGAATTATTACGACTATTCATGAAATCATCTATGCCCACTGTGTAGGAACTGTCGAAGTACTTACTTTTTTGTACTTGTTTAGATTGTGATCATGCCTGATCTAGCCGTCCTCAATGATGTCACGGACGGTACCTCTCCACGTGTGATGATTGGCGGAAACGGATCTGGAAAGCTACATCCAAGCTACATCTCCAGCGACGAATGCCGAAAAGCAACGGTCCAGGAACTTATTCCATGTCTTGATGATCGTAGCGAGCCAAGTCTTGAATCTTCCACCTCTTCGTTGCCTCCAGGTGAGTTGCGAAGCCGGATCGAGGGCAGCGTAGCAAAGCACGCGATGCAGACGTAGGAGAACTTGCCCAAACCACATAAGGACGTCTTTCTTGGATGGCCTGAGATGTCCTCGTGATCCCGTCCCAGCGAGAACGGCCTGTCTCATTTGAGACAAAGTTGGTATACTTTACTCGAAGGATTGTCCTCAGGTAGCGGTCGGCAAATACCTCTACTCTTCACTCATCTTCTACACACATAGTCCAGCATTGACATCCAGAGAGGAGGACTGGCCACAAGGATGCACGGTACACATGGATCTTTGGGACGATGAAGATGTCACGTTGGAACCGTAGGTGCTTTCAGAGGATTAAACAAATTTGGCGAGCAACATCGATTCGGGAGACAATGTCGTCCTCAAACTGTCCATTCGGTAACAGCCTCACCCCGAGACATTTAAAGTTGTCCTTTTCGGAAATTGATGCGTAACCTAAACTGAGTCCTTTGGAACAAACTTGCTCGAGTTCGGCTCGAAAGTTGATGTATATATTTGAGCTGAAATTCACCAACTACTACGGAGGAGACAATAAACGTGTGTACGAAGCTACCAACGGGCAGTCTGCAGTATAAAACTACCTCATAAATCGCCATGCTACCATCATATGGAACATTTAAATACCCAGACGTTTGTTACGACTTTATTCCACTGCCGAATGACAGAAGTGTCAGGGGTTCAGATCATCAGTGGTTGCCTACAATGCCACGTATGCTCTCTCTCTCTCTCCCTTTTGATACTCAGATTTTGTGTGTTCGATTTTTTTAATTGTGTTACCGTTATGAACATGTTCGTGAGATTTCATCAACCAGTAAAAATTAATCCGGAAGATCGGCTTGGCGCGTATACGTAAGTTTTCCATAAATGATCATCGGT